CTCGGCTATCACTTCCTTATGTCCGGTCGTGATGGTCAAGCGGATTAAGGCGTCCCTGTACATACCAGTTGTGGGAGTATGGGTTCGAGTCACTTCTGGGGTGTGAGTTTTTCAGTTGTATATAGTCCTGGGGACCATTCAGGCTTGTTTGCATTTGTGTTCCTCACGTGTGCCCCAAAGAATGAGGTGATTTGATAAAATGCTATGCCCAAGATTACCATCCGAGTGCCGGCGGGGAAGTGGTTCATATAGCCTCGGCTATCACTTCCTTATGTCCGGTCGTGATGGTCAAGCGGATTAAGGCGTCCCTGTACATACCAGTTGTGGGAGTATGGGTTCGAGTCACTTCTGGGGTGTGAGTTTTTCAGTTGTATATAGTCCTGGGGACCATTCAGGCTTGTTTGCATTTGTGTTCCTCACGTGTGCCCCAAAGAATGAGGTGATTTGATAAAATGCTATGCCCAAGATTACCATCCGAGTGCCGGCGGGGAAGTGGTTCATATAGCCTCGGCTATCACTTCCTTATGTCCGGTCGTGATGGTCAAGCGGATTAAGGCGTCCCTGTACATACCAGTTGTGGGAGTATGGGTTCGAGTCACTTCTGGGGTGTGAGTTTTTCAGTTGTATATAGTCCTGGGGACCATTCAGGCTTGTTTGCATATATATATATATATATATATATATATATATATATATATATATATATATATATATATATATATATATATATATATATATATATATATATATATATATATGTCGTACCTAGTAGCCAGAACTCACTTTTTGGCCTACTATTCAAGGCCCGATTTGCCTTATAAGCCAAGTTTTCCTGAATTAATATATTTTTTCTAATTTTTTTCTTATGAAATGATAAAGCTACCTATTTCGTTATGTATGAGGTCAATTTTTTTTATTAGAGTTAAAATTAACGTAGATATATGACCGAACCTAACCAACCCTACCTAACCTAACCTAACCTATCTTTATAGGTTAGGTTTGGTTAGGTAGCCGAAAAAGTTAGGTTAGGTTAGGTTAGGTAGGTTAGGTAGTCGAAAAACAATTAATTCATGAAAACTTGGCTTATTAGGCAAATCGGGCCTTGCATAGTAGGCTGAGAAGTGCGTTCTGGCTACTAGGTACGACATATATATATATATATATATATATATATATATATATATATATATATATATATATATATATATATATATATATATATATATATATATATATATATATATATATATATATATATATATATATATATATATATATATATATCACACTACCAAACCCCACACAGCATCACCAGTACTCACAGTAGCACAAGCACACACAGTAACACTAGTACACACCAAAGTATTTAACAGATAGAATGCATTAGGCAGTGATTTAGTGGAGGCAGGCTCCATTCAGTTTCAACACTGAAACACTAGAGGACAGAAGAGTAAGGGGAGACTTGATCACTACCTACAAAATTCCCAGAGGAATTGACAGGGGTAGATAACGATAAACTGTTCAACACTTTTGGGACGCGAACAAGGGGGACACAGGTGGAAACTGAGTACCCACATGAGCCACAGGGACGTTAGAAAGAACTTTTTCAGTGTCAGAGTAGTTAACAGGTGGAATGTACTAGGAAGTGATGTGGTGGAGGCTGACTCCATATACAGTTTACAATGTAGATATGATAGAGCCCAATAGGCTCTGGAACCTGTACATCAGTTGATTGACAGTTGAGAGGCGGGACCAAAGAGCCAGAGCTCAACCTTAGCAAGCACAATTAGATGAGTACACAAGAACACCAGCACCAGTACACACAGCCACAACAGTAGCATATAGATATGCTAATTCCAATTATTATTAATCCTTTACAACATAGCAGAACAAATAATAATTTTTATTTTGGATTAAAAACGAAGAAAATGCTATTCTTGCTCGAATTTATGTTAATATAACTCTTTCAGGAAATTGATATATTAGTATGAATGTTTCATTTACATTTCATGGATGTTCTAAAACGCCATTTTTGGGGGAATTATTACGTTATTTAAATCAAATACAAAAATTCATGCGCACATTTAAATTTAATATTATAATCTGAAGAGAACATTTCTAAGACAGATTTTTTTTACTGAAATATAGTATATATAAGGGTAAACTGCAATGTTATGATAGGTAGAGAGCAACATGGGTGTACAACATGAGGTATTCACACACATGTAATCTTAACTCTAAACAGAAACTACGTTACAAATTAAAGACTTCTTACTGGTTAAAAACTATGGTAGATTATAGCTTTATTGACTCTAGGAAACTCCTGGCTAATTCTTTACTGCTAGGTGAATAGAGGCATCAGGTAACCATTCTCAAAGATGCAACAGTTACCTAACTCCAAATTCAAATACAATTACTGTATTCATAAATGGTTGTACGTTAATAATTAATAAAGTGTACATAGAAAGTACAGTACATTAATTACATAATAGATTCACAG